ATTGGGGTTGATTCAAAGGGCTTTGGAGGTCACATACATTAGTCATCTGTTGGGATAATGTATAATGGAATGAATTTGTGAATTCATGTTATTGTATGTTACTAAATAACGTGGGCTTCAGTGAGTCTTGCTTTGTCCTTACTTTAGTGTCAAGGAGTCTAGTTTTTTGGACAAGATGTAAATTATTTAAAGAATTGATTTAAGGCAGAAATATATCATTACCTACAGTACTGTGCAAAAGTCAGACACTAAAGTTCATTTGTTTCATTTCCAGTCAAAATATATTTAATTTCCAAAGTTTTGAACAACAAAACTATAGCTTAAAAAATCTTAAAAGATGTAGGGAAAAATGGGACTCATGCAAGACCTGGCAGATAAACAGCACTTAAAGCTCTTATCTTTGAGAGAGAGGAGAAAGCTCCACTCTTACTTCAGATCTGAAATAAATCCACAGGTGTTTTTGTCCATCCTTCCATCATGAGAAGATAAGTCTGAAAGAATGTGTAGCTGTCAAGAAGCTGTTACTGAGAAATCAAAATTGACAAAAAATAAGAAAAATTTAAATCAAAGAGGCTGCTAATGTTCCCAGAACAATGAATGTGTTTGGGTTTACTTGGACCATAAGAAGCAGAAAATTCAACCAACTTCTAAGACTGAAATTTGGAGGTGTGGAAAATATCCCTGCAGATTTCCTGGAAGAACTGAAAGTGAGTATCCTGAAAAGAATGGAAGCTGTAATAAAGGCAAAGTGGACACACTAAATACTGAAAATGTTTAGATTATTTTTTGCGAGTAGTGTTGGTAGTATGAGGGGAGTCTGACTGAGGGAGGGGAGAGATGTCTGAAACTTGGGCTGGGGTTCTGGGTGGCCTCTGTCTGAAGCTAGAAGTGGGCGGACCCCTCTTTTACTATGGGAGGAGATGAGGTGTTTGTGGGGATTACGAAAACTTCGTCATGGGAAACGGAACGTAGAGATGGGGCTTTATAGGGCTTTAGATTGGAAGGGGAAGGGATTTCAGGCATTGTCCTCCCCCCTCTTAGTTGTTGAGGTTTCTGTGCAATTTTCTTTCAAATATATGTTCTCTGTTTTTCCCAGATGCCGCAAAATGAATTTGTACTTAGTGGCTGTTTTGACTGGAAATACAATAAATGAAGGGCTGTCTCTGACTTTTGCACAGTACTGTACATTCAGAGTGTAGAAGACTTTACTATGTTTCATTTAACAGCAGGTACAAACTTTTATTACACACTTGTATAACAAAAATAGTCATGTAGTTACTCTTGCAATCCATGTATTTACTGAATAATAAGCCTTAATGCAATAAGGCTTATCATATGATGTATTATAAGGGGTTAAAGTTAACTGGTTATAGTTCAAGCTGTTATTAGCTTAATCCTTATGTGGCAAATGTACTTCCCAGAATATGTGGTGATTCAGCTGATGAGAAATGTGTGGCTCAGAGGCAGGAAATAAAAGAGTGGGTAGATTTACCTAAAGCAGACACATGTATCCTGTACTAAACCTATAGCAGAGTTAATCAGTGGACACTGAATGAGATACACTCATTCTATAGCTGGACATACTGGACTTTTTACAGTCAATTATAAGTTGCACACATCTTTGCTCCACTTTTGTGCTCAGAAGTTTACCTGCTGTAATAAACTCTACCCACTTTCAGCCTTTATTGGCTTCTTTTATGAGCAACCTTGTTTTAATTGATGAGCAGGTGTTAGCTTAATGATTTTAACATAACATTTATAAATTTCTTTGTTTAGCATTGTTTTGAAGAACGTGTACAAGTTTAGCTGAATGAGGTCAAAGCATAAGCTTAGTAGCCTTGTCTTTTCATGAAATGAAGCTTCGTCAGGAAGACCTCAAAGCATATGCTTTCTCAGTGGTTGGACATGGGCCTTAGGGTTCAGCATATAAACAGGTCAAGTGGAGAACATAAGCCTATTTATTTAGCAGTTACTGTACACATGCTCTTTTGGTCTGCATTCATAGTAATTGTGATTTATATTGCCTTCACCATTGTTCAATATCCATTTTCACCAAAGCTTAGATCAGCCTTGCCCTGAGAATAGAGCTTGAGGGTCAGTTTGGGTTTTAAAACCTTCATCGCTCTTTGCTCGGTCCCGTATAGCAGCGCTGCCTTGGGAAAACTCTTAAAAGGGAAACCCAATTTTTGCCAGTTTTTGTAAATGTTTATGTAAATAAATGGTTACAACAAACAAGTCATTCAGGGTGGTTTGATATGTTATAGAGAAACAGAGTCAGAAATGTTTGCAGTGATGGGGAAAGGAACCAGACGTCTGAAAAGTTCAGTGCTAATCTAAGAGCTTACTTCTAATCTTATACTAAAACTACATCTGAGACATTAAGCAGGGTATTCATAACTGCTGTATTTGTAACAGCTTTCTTTGAGGTAGCTTCACTTCAGACATCTGGTTTCCTCTCACCACCCATCAACCACAGTTGGAAAGTTTCTCTAGAACAAAGCAATTCACATCAAACCACTCTGAACAGCCTTATTTACATCTTAACAACTTCATCATTCAGAAAGTTTGAGAAAACCAATTCGCCTTTAACTTTTAATGTGAGTAAATGTAATGAGATTTTATGTCAAGTGATTTTGGAGCATTTCTACTGGTTCATTCATCCTGAATGGTCACACAATGTGAAGAGCAAGTGCTCTTGCTGCGTTGACATGATGTAAAAAAGAATAATGATGACAAAAAAAATTGATACATAGTTTTGATATAATAACAATGATCAGTGCTTATAGAAACATTTACAAACACAACTGCATATAGTTAAAGCACAAACTGAAAGCCCTTTCCTTTCAGCGAACCAGCGCCACTCCTGTGAGAACCCTTTCTAAGTGGCACAGGCCTAAGGGAAGAACATAGGTTTATTTATTTAATAGGAAGAAAGCTCCTGTAATTAACTCCTATACGACCCAGACCCACTTCAAACGTATTGCATCACATGCCTCAATAATGTTAAGGACCAGATAACCCGTCTTTTTTCTCCCGTCTTCTTGGGAATGCTCTTAGCAAACCAGTGCACTCCTCTTTGCACATTGCACGACTGTGCGTCATCGACCAATGCTCTTATGTTTTGGTCCATGACTCAGCCTCACTTCCGCTTTTCTCTGCGCTAGGTTTCCATAGTGCTTTGTGCCCATGGGCTCGCACTCCCCCGCTGAAGAGGGCGGTTCTCACAAGCAGGCTGAGAAGCCCTCAGGTCCTGAATGCAATCAGGGACTGCAGTGTGCACCCTGGCCCCCAGAAGCACACTACTAATCGCATTAAGGCATTCTCACAGCAACAGTGTTACAAGCGTGCTAGACAGACAGGAGGAAATGTTTGCGTGTCGTCTATTTTGTGGTGGTTTGCTAGCTGCCGTGATTTGGCATTTGCAGCCACTGGCCAGACAGGAAATAGGTCAGATACACTGACCGGAAATTTTAGAAATACAGTACTGCGCAAAAGGCTTATGCAAATAATTTAAAACATAAATACAGTTAAACAGAACGTGATTTGGTTTTGTTTTAAGGTTATTAATGCTGTTGTTAGAGGAATACACTTAAAGGAACTCAAGCTTGGTGACTTCACTTCAGTCATTATATGCATTTAAAAAACCCATCAGCACCTCACTTGATTTGATTTAATGTAGGATTGATTAGATGAATACCTAGTATTGCATGGTATGTAAATATTGTGCTTGCTCAAGAAGAGCTTTGGAAATGGTTCAGCTAACACATAGATATAAAATTACAATGTTAATTATTTCTATTTATATTAATGATTGCCTTTTTTTAAACAAATACAAAACATTTTCTCAGACGCCTAAGACTTTTGCACAGGACTGTACGCATTTTCATTTTAAAAAGCAAACAGAAAACAAAGGCAAATAAAGCTGTACTGGAACATTGTGTGGGTGTGGCGTTCAATATTCATTTTTTTTATTAATACAAGAACAAATTGAAAGAACATTTACAATTCACCAGAATAACTTTGCTTTCATGCTTTGTGCAAATACAGCATTTCGTTAATTCAGGATGGGCCCCACCCCCTCACCATGGCTAACAAACCACTATTAAGCTGTCAGCTTCTCAAATTCTGACAAGGCAAATTTACTGTTACTTTAAGTGGAATTGGACAGAGATTTAGAGCAAATATGCCATAACGGTGGAACGGAGCTTCCACATTTGTTCAGCAATAAGACTGTAACATCCTGTCCTGTCTTGCCCTTGTCTTTGTTTTCCCTTTTTGTTTACCTTCATATCTCCAGCCATGTGCTTATGTTTGTTTTGGGCTGAATCTCAAATGGCTTCCTACTCCTTATGTAGTGCGCTATGTAGGTCATACAATAACAGCTGCTACACCCAAACACTGCATTAGATGTCCAATATATAGCCATGTATATTCAGCTATAAGCTGCACATCTCCTTGTCTAACACTTAGTGCACTATTTGGGTGTAGAAGCCATAGTTTCATGACCTATGCAGTGCACTATACAGGGAGCTATTTGAGATTGAGCCACAGTTTTCTCCTCCACCTTCACTCTGCTCTTGTGTCACCCCCCCCACGCTTGTGTCTTGTGTGGAACCCCACCCAGTAATTACTCCCTGGTGTTTCTTGTTGGTGTTTCCCAGTATGTGTATACAGTTGTATGCAACAGTGTGGGCACCCTGGATCAGTTTACATGTTTTGTTGATTTTTTAAGTGAAAATAAGTTAAACATCCTCTACAGAAAGCACTACTGTGCATTATAAAAAAAAACAGTAACTGTTTATTTGCTACATATTAGGGGTGGGCATGCTATTTGAAATGTGATATTAGGCTTACTAGCAGTAATGCTAGCGATTCAGTTGGGTTTAAGCTAAGGCATACATTTTTTAACTTCTATTAAGCACATACAGTCCCCTTTTTTGTTGTAGACAAAATGCATAAACTTCAAAAACTTCATAGTCCCCAAAAAAACACACAATAAATAACCACTCAATTCAGATTTCTTCCATTTTTTTAATCTTCGAAAAGTGAACACATACAACAAATAACAACTCTTATCACCACACATCATTTTTCAGTCCATTAAGCACTGACTAGTACATTTACAGTTTCACTGGACTGCTCAACAAATCAGTGCACATGAATACATTTATATCGAGCAAACAGACATTTCTACTAACATTATTCTCTATTATTTGTGTTGCAGCCCCATGCAGTTTAAGCTTATTTACAATGCTCTGGACACAAGACATGTAATCTAAATACTAAATCTAGCTTGTGTTAATACACACTTTCCAGTGACGTTATCATGAGTATGGGGACCATAAACATTGCCTAATGTACCGTGATGAGCATTTTATTTTTAAGGTAAGCTACACAGTCTACCCTAAAACCACTTCCACTCTTTGTACTGTTGCATTAAGTATTATGCTCCAACATACAGAACTGTGTTATATGAAACAAACACTGGAGATGCTTTGATTCATCATCCGTCGTCACTGCAGATTTTGGGAGTTCATTTAAGAAAAGGATCTGCTGGTTTCACCACTGAAGCTCAGATAGCTCTTTAAACACGGAACCTTACTAACTAGCAGCTGGCGAACATGATTCTGGAATTTTTTACCCAAGAAAGTGTAGAAGACAGGGTTGACACAGAAGTACAGGTGGGCAATGTTGTGAGTGACGTACTGCGGATAAACAAGACTGTTATCACAAGGGTCGCTCAATTCCTGCTCTTTAATCAATAATATCACGTTGTATGGGGTCCAGCAAATGAAGAAGAGCACCACAATGACAAAAATGAGCTTAACAGTCCGGTGTTTGCCCTTCATTCGGGAGGAGATCACCCTCAGGGCAATCCTGATGTAGCAGTAGACGATGACAACCAAAGGGAGGATAAAGAACAAAATAAACTGAGTGTAGGTGCCCAGAACTTTAATATTGGTTTCAGTTTCTTGACAGACATACCCCACAATTGGGTCTTTACGTACTTCGTGTTTTAAGCAGGTTTCCAGGCTAGCAAGGACACTGACGCTCCAGACGACGGCAGCTGTGGAGAAGGCGTAGCAGCTTCGCCGCTGCTTTGTGGCCACCACAACGTGAACCACAGCCAGGTAGCGGTCAAAGCTCATGAGCGTGAGGAAGAGGATGGAGCTGCGGAACCCCAGGAAGTAAGCACTGCTGACTATTTTGCATGTCACATTGCCAAATATCCACTGTGAGCTCTGGTGGACGGCTTGAAACGGGAGTGTGAAGGTGAAAATCAGGTTAGAGACCACCAAGTTGATGAGGAATATGTTAGTGACCGTTCCGAGCCTTTCAAACTTATACATGATAAACAGCACAAGTCCATTGCCCAGCATGCTGACGATGAAGATGATGGCATAGAATGGTGGAAGAAACTTTCTACTGAAATCAGTTATATCGGTTATGTCGCATGGAGACACCGATGTCACTGAGCTATCATATTCATAGAGTAAGGGCTGAGATGTTTCATACTTGTGATCCTCCATTTTCCACACAACCTGTCAAGCAGAGGCTTTTGTTATTAACTGAAAAAATGAGAAATTTATTACATGACTTTTTTTGTTCTAATTAAAAATAGACCATATTACATTGTCTGGGAAAGACATACAGAAAACATTGGCTATAAAAGGATAATATTTACTTAGACACCTAGATTAGTTTTCTCACACAATTAATTGGGCTAAAATCTCTGTATTGAAAGTAGGTTTGTTTGGCTTTGTGGGATGGATATATATATATATATATATATATATATATATATATATATATATATATATATATATATATATTGATTTAACATGCTTGCAATGCAGATATAATTTTGTAATGCAGTTCTTTTGGTTTTGGGATGTGACTAAAATGTATTTTGATCCAAAATATGCTTCATAAATTACTTTGATTCATTACATTTAGCAACAATTGTACATTTTAAAATATGTTATGCCACTAATAAAATATTTTGGGCAACACTTTATTGAAGGGCAGCATCCATAAGACAGCATGACTCCTACAAAAGTCTTTCATGACAAATGGCAAACATTTGTAAAGGCTTATTCTAACAAGCATCAGTTGTCATAATGGCTGCTCTTGTCAGTGTTAATGTCATATCACCTCAGCAAGTCTTATGAAAACTGACGCTTGTTATAATAAGCCTTTAATCCAACATTATAGGCGTATGTAGGTGTCCTGTAGCCTTATAAACACCAACCTTCAGTAAAGTGTTACCATATTTTCTCTGTTTCATATAAAAAATGTTAACATATATCCTTAAATCCACCAGTGGGACTTATAGAAGTGCCCCTAGTTTCAGAAACACCCAAAAAGTCAATTACTAGTAACAATCATAGCATGCAGTACAGAAAATTACACACAAAACAGAGTTAATACTTACAGAAAAGCAGTTTTCAGAGTCTCCTGTTGCTCAAGGACAAGAGTGACTAAAGGGACAGGTCAGAACGGAATGGCAGTGGAAGAAGTCTGCATGAGTATTTGTTTATGTGTTGCGAGTTCTTGAGTCATCCACTGTATCATTCTTTAGTTCCTTCTTTCACAAGTTTTTATGTGTCACCTCTTTCTTAACATTTCATATAACCCTTCTGTCTTAGAAGAATTTCTGTAGTACAGGAAGGAACAAAAGGAAGAGGTAGGAAGATGATAACTATAATGCATCTGAGTCTGTGATCTAAGAGCATTTGATCTAGTCTCATGCCAAGGGATCTAAAGAACCAAAATCTATCACTGAGACATACAAGGGACATACAGACAGCTAATGAGAGTTAAATATGTTTTAATCATTCCATTAACAATGCCCAGATGTGAAGGTGAGCAAAATATCATCACACAACATTTAAGTATAAAGACTCCACCTTACATATTTTAGAACTACTTAGATGTGAGAGGAACTGCAGGATAAAAGCAAAACAGTTGTTGACAATACTAACTTCATGTATTGTTTCCATTGAATCAGTCTGATCAGTTAAACGTAGTACAACGCAATTGGAAGTTTTAACTAAGGATAATTACATACAATAAACCTAATGCATCAATAAAACAACAAGAAATTAAAGCACCATTTCTGAGTGTAGAGAAGATCTATGTGTTTGTTTACAAAGGAAATATTGTTCTGGCCAAAGATGGTGTTGGAACCAGTTCACAGTTTAAATCATGTATTCATTAGATTCATCTGTTTAGTTATTTTTATGTAAATATTATAAAACAGTTTTGCAGAAAAGACTTGGGGAAAGGGAGCATGATGGGGTAGCCACACTTTCCTTCTACCACACTGTTAAGAAGGCTTTAAAATTGGTTGTTTATTTAAAACGTAAAATAATTTAACATTTTTGGATTCATTTACACTCGCTTCCTTGTTACTGGAAGTGCGCTGAAACACATCTACACTACAGCCGAAGTAATAAGCCGCTACAGATGTTTTTTAAGTATTATTATCATGGCATTAATATTTATACAATATAGCAGCTGAATAATGTTATACACTGGAGTCTAAGTTGGACAGCAAACATTACAGCTATGGCCTCCACACTTCAACCTGTTTTAAATATAAATGTATCTATAAATATAAATTGTATTTTTTACTTGCTAACAGGTTTTTCAGTAATGAGATGTTGAGTTTTCATTGGTATGCTGGAAGAGCAGAAATGCTGCATTTAGTGCACTGACCGTTTACTTTGGGATTTTAAAAATGGCTGCATATTGTACAAAAAACATCACTGCTTTAAATCTTACAATGTATAAGAAAACATGGTAACACTTTACTGAAGAGCAACATTCATAAGACTGCATGACACCTACATAAACCCTTCATGACAACTGACATAGACTAACATACACATTTATAGTCTTATTCCAACAAGCACCAGTTGTCATAAAGGCTTCATTTGTTAATTTCACAACGATTTGTCGGAATAATCCACATACAAATGTGTAGGTAGCCTTATGTCAGTTGTCATGAAGGCTTTATATAGCTGTCAAATAGCTTTATGAACACTGCTCTACAGTAAAGTGTTATGGAAAACATCACACGGTATAGATTACATTTATCACAATTGTATTACATTTGGACCTATAAGCCTACAATATGATGTATGAACTACCAAAGAACAGCATGTGGATTTAAGCACAAACATAACCACAACTGGAATATACATAATAATTTTGTGAATGATTAAACACTCTTAGCATAAAGCATTCCATTTTCTTGTAGAACGTATGTCCAGCATGGAGGTAGCTTCCCGCAGGCAGTGCAAATATGTACACGAATCCAAAGATTTCTCTTTGAACATTAAAGAAAAAGCCAACAGAGCTCAAATAAAACCCATCAATTATTTAATCAACACCACCAGCATCTTAATTACTCTTAAAATATTCAACAAAGAACAACGATGATCATCTAATCTTGTCTTCAAAAGCAGCCCATTCAAAATTTCCCCTCAAAACTTGGTCACTCGAGTCGTCTTGCATTGTTGCATTAAACTCATTTCACAGGTAAGTGACCACACATCAGTGTCCATTCTGGTATGATTATTATTTCTAATTGCAATGCCTTCTACTTCAGTCCACTGATTATGGCCTGCTCTACACTCTGCTGCAGCTGCAGAAAGAGCTGTACTGGACTGCATCTCCAAATTTTTCTGGTCACCCGTTTTCACACCCTACACTCTTAAAAACAAAGGTTGCTAAATGGTTTTTGGCTTGGAAGTACAGTTCTAGGAAAACCTGTTAATTGGTATAGAACTTTTAATCGTGTGGAGGTCCTATGCACTTTATATCACTATAAAAGATCTCACTCTTACATCTCATTTAAAAAACATCCATTCTTTAGGGAACCAAACATAGTCCTCCTTTTTGGCACCTTTATTTTTAAGGGTGAGGTTCTAAGGGTAAATTTCCAAGAGTACCAAGAGTACTGATCTAGGATGAGTTTCCAGCTTTCATAATGATCCTATTGAATACTGTTAAAACGATCGAAGGGAACTAACCCTGTATCAGCACTCTGAGGTGCTTGTCATAAGAAGTCCATGAGTTGTGTGTCAGAAGTTGGGTCCTTTGCTATAGCGGTCATCCCTGAGGTTGTAAGCCTGGTAGCAGATGGACATGTCACACACTCCAGTTGGCCCTGGGGCGCCTCGTTTGCCTGGAATGCCCGGAGAGCCAGATTTCCCCGGCATTCCCGGAGGACCTGGCAGTCCGATTCCATCACTGCCACGCGGACCCTGGATGCCTGTTGTCGCCAGAGGAGAATGTGACTGACATGACCCAACACACTTTCGCAGTGCTTTGTTTAGTGTTTTTACTACTCTTTCTCTGTCTCTCTTTCTCCATATCTCATTTTTTTTTCTATCCTTTCTTTCTTGATGTAAAGCATCTTTAGGTTCGTGGAGAACGCTATAGAGTAATGTGAAAAAGTCAGAGACCATCTTTCATTTGTTTAATTTCCAGTCAAAATGTCAAGTTCCTCATTTCTAAAAAGGTTCTATATTTGTCCATTTTCTTTCCTCGGTAACAGCTTCTTGACATCTACACATCCTGCCAGACTCATAGTGTTGACAGGATGTGTGGTTTGTGGTTTTTGTTCAGATCTAGAGTAAGCTCCTCTCTCAAAGATGAAAGGTTTAAGTGCTGTTTGATGGAGACAGTTTTGGTGGACTACCAGGTCTTGCACAGTTGTTCTATATCTTTTAATATCTTGTATCTTTTAATTTCTAAACTCCATTTTTAGAAACTCCTGTTTTCTCACTTATTTTCCTTTGATTTCTCCTTCCGTTTGCAAGTGGATTGTCTTAAATCTAATATCCTCACAAATATCTCCTGAAAAATTTATAACTTGTGGCTGTTTTGACTAGAAAATTAAATAAACAAAAGGCTGGTTTCTGACTTTTGCACAGTATAGTGAATAGAGCATATTATTTTTATTATTATTATTATTGGGTACTATGAGACACTACAGAAGCACACCTAAAGCCAACTAGACGCTGTCAGTTCTTCTTGTAAGCAAATCTTGATGGTGAAGCAAATGCAAGGCTACTGCATGCCTGAACTGAGCTGATCTCTCACCTGTTTGTCCAGGAGGCCCAGGCTGTCCTGGCCTGCCTTCGCCTTTGTTGCCTTTAAACCCCCTCGGTCCCATGTCGCCTAAAGACAGTTACATCACATTTTATTTACACAGGATGAGCATGTGTGCATTACCATGCTGTCTACCTTTTTCCCCTCCACAAGCTCTTAACCATATGTGTCAGAGGACAGAGGAATAGTACACCTCTGTTACCTTTGACCCCTGGAGGCCCCTGCAAGCCAGGTGAACCTGGATAACCCTGAGAACCTGGCCTGCCCGGGTAGCCTGGAGGCCCAGTGGAGCCTTTAGGTCCCGGAGCTCCAGGCTGTCCCGGAGGTCCTTTCACTGTTTCACAAGGCTCGCAGCTCTGAGGAAGCATCGTCTGCAGCAGCTGGGCCAGCTGATCTGAGAGAGATGGGCACAGCATGGAGAAACACATTTACAGGTGCGGATCATGGCTTTTGTATAAGATATAACTCTTTTAGAGTGAAAACATTTTGATTAATCTCACCAAATCCCATGATAAGCAATGATAGGGTTCATTTTGCATGACTAAACCCTTACCTATTAATCAGTAACTACCATAAATTATTTGGTAACAACTATGAAACTAACATAAAAGTTATGTAGTCATGAGAATAACTGAGGTATAGATTAACATACGGTCGCTGTCCAATGAAAAACAAGTATCTCCAAAATATTAACTTTACAGGAGAAGGCAAAAATACTCTTACCTTTCAATGTAAGTCAATGTAAAAGATTTTGTTCCAAGTAATTTTAGAGCATTTCTATTGGTCCATTCATCATGTAATTTTTACACAATGTAAAGAACAGCTGGTGCTGAAATGATATAGAAAACTAAAAATCAACAAAAATGGAGATACATGGTTTTCATTGGACAGCGACGATATATGCTCTTTGGCTTGTGTCGGTCATGGCAAAGTATAACCAATTATGAATTTGTATTCTCATTCTGCTTTTCATCATATTTCACAGGGATTTGATATAGATACCCATATCAGTAACTCTTTACTTCAACCTTACTACATAACACTGTCATAACCATACCATAAACATGTCATGGCAGATGTCATATGCTGCCATGACAGATTATCTCAAGTAATATAACTGTGTCTATTGCCATTACTGGTAACTATTGTAATAGATGTCATAATGTTTGATGTCACAACAGCATATTTATTCTTCTCCAGTTGGCCTTCATCACATCAAACATTATGACATCGGTCATGACAATTGCCAGCAATGGTAACATGGCACTGTTATGTAACTTGGCAGAATCTGTCACCTTATGACACAAGCCATGACATGATTATGTCATAGTTATTTTAGCAGAGCTCAAGAAAAGTTAAAATAAAATTTTATCTCAACGTCTTTCCTGTGCTACATCCTTGGTTTGTCGTCCACAACACACCTGCAACGCTAAGCTTAGTTACTTACGTCTCAGCACATCTTCGCAGAGCTTTATCAAGTGCTCATCAGAAGGAGACTTCCCCTGAAACATAAATTGAGCAGTTCCACAGAACGTTTCACACAAAATGGTTCTTCTTTTTGATTCAGTTTCATTTTATTCTATTGCAACTTTCAGAAGCTGTGCTGTGTAATCTTCCAATTTATCAGCCTCTACTTATTCAGCATACTTGCTAGTTTCCAGTAAGAATTATGTCTATGACACTTTGGTTACATTAACATTGTATATTACAAATCAAATGCAAACATATATTGTCACAGCTCAAATACTGGAATACTCACAGGTTTCCCAGGATAACCTGGAACACCAGGGAGCCCTGGTAACCCATCTTGACCAGGAGAACCACGTGGCCCAGCTACTCCTATATGTCCTGTGTCCCCTTTCTTCCCATCAAGACCTCTAGTCCCAGGCTCTCCTGATACACCTCTCTGGGCAGCAGAGAAGAGCAGTGGTGCTACAATGAAGCTAAGGTTTTAACAGAGATCTGATGAATACATTCTGTAATAGGGATAAGCAGCTCTAATCCAGAGCCACGATGATCACACCTGATTCAACTCATCAGTTAGTTATCTCATTATCAAGCCCTTGATTAAGTGCAATAGGTGTCACGGCTGATTTATGCTTCTTCGAAGATGCACATTAGCATGTCTGCTTTGAGAAGCAGAGAAGTGATTCATGGACAAGTGTAGCTCACAGTAGCTCACAGGTCCAAAATCTCAACTACATGTTTACTGAGTCTGGCAAACGCTGACTGGCTATCCAGTAGCACTGGGGCAGAACAAGACCTAAACAATACTCAGTCCAAACTGAAACTACTGAAAGGCAGTTTGAAGATCAGTTGGCAGAAAAGGTGCAACATTACATGTATTTATATAATTCATCTTCAAAGTACTATAAAAGCAATAAATATTAATTCTTGGAGACCTGGTTTGGACACTGCCACAGTGCACACGTTCACATTATGTGAGAGTATGTTGGCAAATCAAACATCTGCACACATTGCCTGCACATACACCGATCAGGCATAACATTATGACACACCACCACCGCATCAGTGTTACTGCAGTGCTGAGAATAATCCACCACCCAAACCTGCTCTGTGAGGTTCATGGGGGTCCTGACTACTGAAGAACATGGTAAAAGGGGGCTAACAAAGTATGCAGAGAAACAGATGGACTACAGTCTGTAATAGTAGAACTACAAAGTGCACCTATGTAGTAAGTGGAGCTGATAAAATGGACAATGAGCGTAGAAACAAGGAGGTGGTCATAATGTTATGCCTGATCGTTGTATAGTCTTATGCAGGTTTACCCCACCCACCCCCCGGTCAAATTAGGTTTTGTTGATTTTCAAAATAAGTTACACATCCTCCACAGAGAACACGCTTCTGCATATTTTAATGCAAAATTACTGTATATTTGCTGAATCTAACCAAGTGGAAAAAAACTATCCAACATAAAATGTGGCCTTTTCTAAAGTTATGGCACATTTTATACTACATTTTCCAATATAATAAACTCAGCAAATAAACAGAAACTGTGCACTACGTTTTCAGAAAAATGCCATATTTAAGTTTAAGTTTTGTAGAGTATATGTTAACTTATTTTCACTTAGAAAATCAACCAAACGTTTAACTTGATGGGAGTGTTTACACTCTTGCATACTACTCTTTTTGCAGACTTGCAGACACAAAAGTATACTTCAGCCTTCAGACTGAGGAAAACATTCAGCTGTGCAGAGCTGTGGCCCTCAAGGATGAGAAGAATCAGAACTACTCATTCTATGTCTAGGACATAAACACAGACAGCTTTTGTATAAGTAACTAAAAAGCATGAGCACAACTTGAGCTGGATTAGTTTTACTAGAGAAGGTTCTATAACATAATTTGTCTGATTTCTTTCTGGCTGGGATCTGTGCAATTTCCCAAATTTCCATATTAGCAGGCTTTGTAATTACATAATGAGGTGAATTGGAACAGTACTACTATAATTGAGGAAGCTCCAGGTTCAGATAATTACAGTAGCTAATTCATTCTAGAATGATTACTGTCAGACTAAAATCTGCAGATACTGGATTAACACATTTAATGCCACTGGTCACTACTGTGTTTTAAAGCTCAAAAAGAGTTGTTATTGTGAACAATAAACTATAAATTATATTCTAAGTTTTCTTGATTACATTTGAATATTGCTATGCAGGTGGTGCGGTTGGTCACATGACCAGAAGCATTACTTTAAGCATGCACCTGAGGAAGCTGATGTCATCAAAGCTCAAAAAAAGGAAGTAAATGACACATTATAATGCATCTACAACCTCCATATTTGGTACATATAATCTTTAAAAGGTCTATTATTGATCATTTGATAGGATTGCACTAGCACACATTGATATCATGCTCACAAAACATGTAAACATGAAGGACAGTTTTATAACACAGTGGCTCACTTTTGCTGTTAATCATCCTAACTAGCCATTGTGGTTTTTTTTTATAGCTTGACTTTGTCTGACATCTTAGACATACAGGAACATGATAACTCATTATAGACTGCATGCAGCATTTAAGCATTTATTTGTATTTTTGCAGTGGTTCAGTTTTTCAATTCAATAATTTTATTTTTTTGTTGTGTATTTGGGTGTAACTGACCAAATGATACAACTTTAACTCTGTCAAAATATCCAAAATTACCATTAACTTGCTGCACAGCTAATCACAATCATCCCTGAAAGTTCCTCTCTCCATCAGGTGAAGGAAACACTTCCAGAGAACTCCTCCGAACAAATGTGCAGGGAGAACAATGGTAGTGGTATATTAGTCTGAATGATTACACTAAGAATTTGGATGATTATGTATTTGTTTAATTCCTGAAGCTGAAAAGGTTTTAGATTAAACTGTGGAGGACGATACAGCGCAGAGTCTAAACTATTAACAGACAGACATGCTGGCTCTGAGGTGTGCTAAACTTTATGCTGTATTTGCTAAAAATTATTTTAATATGATGTCTAATGATAACACTATAGAGAAAGGTTAAGGTCAGTTAACTAACTAGCTTTCCTAACCTTTACTGCCAACAGTTAGCTTGATAAATCAGTCAGATTAAACAGGATCATATGGCACTCATAATTCTGACTACAACATTGTGTATAAAGATAAATATAAAGTTACTCGTACATATGCCAGCTCATCTGAGGGGGAAGCGTCTGTCACTAAAACCTCCTCCTCATTACTCATGAAAACCAGCCGCTTTAACGTTGAGTGATTAAACAATATCCCTGGTTTGATTAATGTACATATGGTTTCAGATTCCATTTTCATTTGCTTTCAATTGGCCTACATTAATATATTCTCTGTTCTCAAACACGTATGTCAGCACCAAACACCTTGCAAAGCACTTTATTTTTGAATGAAATGTTCTCCTGTGTGCTTTTAAACTGTTCTTTGTACTATTGAGTGTTACAGACGCTACCTTGTAGCCTGTAGTTTGAAGGATGTGGAAGCAAGAGGCAGGACCTACAATTTTCCTAACATTTTGTGATTAAAGAGGTTAAAATCACAAGACTTCAAGACACTACACTATAATTCTCAACTAATACTCATCCAGCTTGAATAGGGTTATGAGTGTTGTTTGAGATATTTTTATTGCACTGAAGTGCAACTTGCTGTGAATGCTGGAACTATTCCCTCTCTTATCCGTTCCTGTCTTGTCAAATATGAAAGCATCTATCAGTATTCTAGTAAAAGCACCGAGGCATTGAGGCATCTCTTAGAATAAAATGACAGGTTCAAAGAGCCTCTGAGGCCAGTTTTCTCTAACCTATCGTCTCAATTACTAGTCCGTGACTATTCCTCATTTACATTCCTTTTTAGTCTAAGACTAGGCTTAAAGAACGCCTAGTTAAGAGACCCCTCTTCTTCACCAGTGCCGTAAAACCTAACAAATAAGTCCAGCGTGCTCTGCATGATTTCTTGAAGTGTCAGTGTAAGTGATTGGATGGCACTGGCGGCTATGGTCCCTTCCACGCTGCCTGTGCTCCAGCTGAAGCTCGCTTGGCTCGATAACTGTCAACCTGTCAAACGTAAACACCCTGTGGACATGTCTGTCACAACTTTGAAGGGTTTCATTCTTTCTTGTTTGTTCAGCGGGAGGAGATGATCTCGTTTCCTGTGTAAAATGAGGCCGAAAAGATAAAATGTAATTCGGGAGTCTAATTCTACAAACCTCTCCTTTGCTTCCCTTGGGTCCAGCTTCACCCTGGTAAAGGGAGAGGGAGGGGGAGAAAGAGACGCCCGTTAAAACTTTTCACACTAATATCAAAGAGAAAAGTCCGCCTTATTAAAAAACCACTTCCTGTTCACGGTGAGAGCAGAAAGAAGGCAGAAGTGGAGCTTCATAACGAACAAAAATCAAGCTGTGCACAAAAGCCGCAAGTACCAGTTGGCTGCGGTACTTCAGCGCTGAATACATTTCCTAATGCCTATTTCTGGTCAGGACCTAGTTCAGCGTCTTCTATTTTAGACCACCTAAGGTAATTTTCTAATGATCCAAGCAGAAAGATATGCATCAATTATTTGTCTTCTGCAGACAGTCTCCTGCAGGAACACACTGTGCGCAACACAGACATGTATCACATTTGTCTGCCAGCTGTTACCTACCACAGGTTACAAGATAACTGTGCGATATTACATTGAGGCAAACCTCTCCATTTTCAACATGTAGGCTTTGCTGTTGTACAGAATATCAGCATAAACTTTTCAGTTTCTTTATTTCTGTCATGAACCTCAACTAATTTGCCTTCCATGGGCTGTTCATGGGGTGGAGGGGGTCTGGTGTAGTTTAATTTCTTTCCTGCTTTAATCGCTCACATCTGTCTTTAGTGAGACCACCTCCAACTAAGTCCTCTAGGTGATCTGAATCACATCCTGTGTTTTCTTTTCCAGAGAGTGGCTGTTAATACATTTGTGCTGAGGGTATTTGTCAAACTGCAGTAGGTGCACAGTGGCCTCAAACCCTTCAAGATCCAAATGCAGGCCTACTGCTTCTAAGTTATATTGCCTTTGTAGAGTCACTACACAAACTGCTGGTGTGCTGCCACCTGGTGGACAGATGGTGTATATCCACTTACCGGTGAGCCAGGAACCCCAGGAGCTCCCTCGCTGCCTCTCTCTCCCTGAAAGATGATGAAGGGTGGTCTCTGTTAGGGGGTCTCAGAAGCTAAAAGGTTATCATTAGCATTTAACGCCTAAAAGAAACCTGAGGCTCAGAGTAACCTTTAGAAGAGCATGCTGGAGTTTAGTTGGGGCATACTGTGCAGATTGAAGTTAGTACCAGCCTTAGAGGCTGTTTAAGGTAAGGAACATAAGTCATCTTGTGGCAGCTCTGTTTTAGTACAAGATTTTGATTCTCTGGCAGTGTATCTTAAAGCTAAGGATATCTTAACTCTCAGGGGCCGTATTACAGAAACTTCTTAACCCTGAAATCTTATCTGTTTAGTAACCATGACAACTACAGTTAGGACTGAATTTAAGACAGAAGTTTTTATGGAATAACAGTTCTTAAGTCTCGTAATCTTATTCACTAACTCCAGACAAGAAAGCAGTATTACAGAAACACCCTAACTAGACAAAATTTCCTAAATTCTGTCCTAAATACTGTTTTAACCATCTGTTTTTATAGTTTTATGCAGTGACTGGCAGCACAGTTCACTATAATTGGCATAATGACATTACATCTATCTAAATTGAAAACGTGCTTTGACTTTGAGGGTTTTTTTCTAACAGCGTTTTAAAAAACACCGCAGACACGATCTTCACCGTCCCCTCTTATTACCGTTTGTGTGTTAATCTTGATGAAAACTTGTCAGATAAAATATTACAGTGATGGTGGTGAATAATGAGGAGACAAAGCTGAATGTGTGTTCGTTTATTGGGAGGAACAGCATTAGCGCACTCGGCTAAAGTGTTTGGGAAACTGAAACTGGAGAGCAGCGACGCACTGATAAACAGCACAAATTGCTGTCACAATATTTTTTACGTAAAGTTTATTGTGCTTTAGTTTTGTTTTTTGACCTTTTTATATCAGTAACAAGAGCTAGCTGTCTGTTTAACTAACTTGATTATTTTTTTGTATTAGCCATGTGTTTACGTTTCTGTGCGCATGGTCAGTTGCTAGGTAACAGACATGACAGTTGATTGTCAACATCGATCGAGCAGGATAAGATTTCCTAACTGGAGATAAGTTGCCGTAAACTAAGATAAGATTCCTGAAATAAGATACGATTTGCTTCTGTAATATGAATTTGTGAAAATCTTGTCTTGACCTGTCAGATCTTAAGACAAAAAGATTGGAAGTTTCTGAAATATGGCCCCAGAACATTAATTGCACAGGAACTGTCTAGGAACAAAGAAGTAATCAGATGCACACTTCATCTGGTCACTATGTTGAATAACAGAAGTTAAGCAAAGGTCAAAATATAGAATATAGAATATAGAAGATGAATGGCTATACCTTAGTTCCCTTTGGGCCAGGTTCTCCCATATGTCCCTGAAATGCAAAGTTATATCAGTTTATCTCATGTTGAGTCAAAAGAGACTAATTTTAGTCTGTATTTTAGGCAATACTGAAAAATTTGAAATCAATACTGAAAATATAATTAGTTAACCCATCAGAATCTCTTAAAGAAATGCTGTAACAAAAAAAAATTCCACTTCCCAAAATGTAGTCAATCAGCCAAGACATATTTGCTGTCCAAATTTGGCTTCTTTGGTTTAGTGCTGGAGCCACTGGGCTAACATTGCTAACAAACACTAGAAGTCAACAGTCACCCAAATCTTTTCCATAAATATAACCTTAAAACTTCTCTCAGCCCACTCAAACCACATAAGGTCTTCATTAAGGTCATGCAGACTGGTTAATATTTTTAGGACACAGTGTGACTTACTGTGAACTTTAAAAATGCACAAAACGTCACTGTGTAGCTAAACACAGCAGTCAGGCTTTTTAGACAACAGGTGTTGTGCTGTATTCCAACTTCCCTGAAGCATCAGACTCCTCTTTTCATCGACATTCGTCATTAAGTACAGATGCTGGACTAGATTCACAATTTCTGCTGTTTCTTTGTATATAAGCCAAGATTACAATTATTTATAAAAAAGACTCCACATTTAATGGAATATGCAGCGTCTACAAGGCTGTGTGACGTGCATGGCTGTGAATGGGAGTCAGATTTGGGCACAACACTTGTTGTCTAAAACACTGGTTCTCAAACCAGTCCTCAAAGCCCTCCAAGCACCCCATGTTTTTGCTCCAACCTAATTCACCATGCATAGGTTTAGAGCAACAAACGGGGGTCCCTGAGAACTGGTTTGAGAGCCACTGGTTTAACATAGCTGACTGCTATATTCAGGTACACGGCAAGGTTCTGTTCATTTTTACAGTTCACACTATGTCCTAAACTACATGACGAGTCTGCACAACCTTAATGAAGACCTAGAAGCGGTTTGAGTGGATTGAGAGAAGTTTTGAGGATGTATTTACAGAAAATATTTGGGTGACTATTGACGTCTAGTGTTAGCAACATTAGCCTCACAGCTCCAGCACTATACAATCTAATTGACTATTTCTGCTGTAAGAGGAAAATTCTATTCTTTGAAAAACACTTGAAACACCCTGAAAGTTCACTATTGTTTTACAGTAGCAAACAGTGACATCTCCTTCAATACTGTTTAGTTTCAGGGCCAAATATTTGTTTCTAAAATTGCTTAAGAAATATCAGAATGAAAATTCGCAATTCTAAAGTTGACTGCAGAGTATTTGATGACACTTCCACAATTCATTGCAGTGTGATGGTTTAGGCCACTCTTAGGCCACTTTTGGGATCATTTACCTTATGTCCTTTAAAGCCAGGAAGACCCATTGCACCCTGTAACCCTGGAAACCCTGGATCTCCCTGTGTACCCTGTGAATGTTAGAACATATCTGAATCAGCTGGGAGAAATGAGCACTGAATGTCCTCACCGGGATTCAAAACAAATAAACATTGATTATTACTCCATCAAACACACTGACAGAAAAGTACCTCTCAAGACAATTTAAGCATCTTAAACTTTACTGAATAATATTCCACTACTGGCTGTTTGGCACAAGAAACAGATATATTAATATGGATTCAGAGGTTTAAATATGTTGAATCTCACCTTTTGCCCCGGTGCACCTGGAAGACCAGTCAGCCCCCGCTCTCCTGCGCTACCCTGCACGCACACAGACACGACTCAACAAGCAAACACAGACACTTGACATGCATTGTGCATGATGTCTCCAATACTCCAGGCAACATTATTTGTCAAGCTTTTTTATTTCTTGGAATCTAGTTGATAAGAATACAATTCCTGGAACAGAATAAACGTAATCTTCATATAGCTATCCCCACAGGAGAAAGCCAATGCATTAGCATAATTGCTAAAGGTGCCTTTTAGTACTATGCTTACCTTGGGACCGATTTGTCCATCTGCTCCAGGGGGTCCCGGGGGGCCTGGATTGCCCTAAGGGGTTGAAGCAGATAGGACACAAAGTTAAACACTGTGTGACTGCTGTGGTCAAAAGAGATATCACGGTCTGCTGACTTCAGTCATTATCACTTCCCCCATTGTGATTGAGGCTGAAAACAAAAAGCAAAACAAGACCATAAAGTTACGTTTGAATTCAAGTATCTGTAGAGAGTTTTCTTACATTACCATTCAAAACATTCACGTAATATGAACATTAATATAACCAATATTTGATTAATTATTTCAGCAATTTTTTGTTAAACATCAGTAATAAACACAGTAGGATTTCAGTACAGGGGTACATTGTAAAGCCCTTGTTATGCTCTTATTAAGCCATATAAATTCAGTAGCCATTAATTACATGGTTCATTACATCTTTACTGAGCAACAACTAGGGAACATCTGAAACCTGCATCACCATGTTTCTTATGTAACATCTATTGCATATCATCACTGTGTTAGTCATAAGGGTCTTAACAGTGCATCAACATGTTTCTCATGTTGCTAAACATGGTTCTCTATTTAGCTAAAAGAAAGCAAAATCACATCTTGTAGTGAACAGAGTGTCTTTCTTTTATTGTGAAAAAAACTTCTCAACCAATCAGATAATGGTTGTATAAAAAGTAAGCTAATAGCTTATTAAGGGAACCATAATGACCTTCTATACTGAAGTGTTACCAACAAAACCTAGCTGTAGATATTTGTATAAATTCTTAGTTAAGCTTAGTAAATATCAGTCATTCTGGACATTAATTTTAGCGTAACATCATTCTCAGTGCCCTACAGCTTTTCTCAGTCATTTTAGAATAACCTACAACTCTGTTTATCAGTCTGGACACATCTAAAATTTCTACCTACAGGTTAATTGAAACCAATGAGGTTGTATTAAGAATCATGTTAGAATCTCTGTAAATGTGAGCAGAAAATTCACAATCATCACATGATCAAATATAGTTTCTTTTTTAGTACTGACACATAAAAATTGAGTTAAAGGTAAACATATATTAAATATAATCATGTAAATTACTATTGTAATAATATTAATTAATGATCATAATGCGAAATGTTATCAAGAAACTTTTTTCTTGCCTTTCCCTTCTTAGAAACCTCTCATTCTGAAATCATGTCATTTTAGCACCATATTGTTAAATACATCAGAAGTGCCAGTTAGCCCTGCAGTGCAGCACGCACGTGGACTAAATGCTTTGCTGAGCAAACACAGCAGCTCCAGTCAGTAGAAAGCTAATTTGTGTCAACTGTGCACTAATCGGTTGACGTGAGTGCTGAAAACATGAGTAACTTACTCATTGTGGAATAGCTTTCAGTAACTTCCAGGTGCTCTGTGGATTTGCTCTGAACTGCTGGGTTCTAGCAACACCCTTTAAAAAGCACAGCTCTGACTGCAAACTACATGGCGGCACACTGCATTTTTTAGCCGGAATTAAAGAAGTCTGTCAGTTTGTAGACTTTGACAGCTTAAACCTCCCGGCACTTAAGCAGCAGATATTACGGAAAAAATGTCAAATCTCAGCCAAGAGAGGACAATCATTTGGATACACATAAAACATGAAAGCTGCAAGAAAATCTACACATCAGGGCTGTATTCATTCAACCTAGTGATTTTCCCAAACAGCATCATGTCATCTTAATGCCGGCATCATGTCAGAGACACATTTTATGGCTCCTACTGTATACTAGGATTTACAAAATAGAAAAACAGAAAAGGAACACAATATTACTTGTATTTGTCATTTTAGCTATAGCCTGTCAAGTATGAGTTCATCAAACTTTAAACAAGTTAAAAGAATGTGCGTCACAGACTATTGATCTGTTAACTGTATTAGAAGTTCAGGAAACCCAAAATTTGAAGGCAGCCATGTTAGAACAGGTTTAACAGAAAGTTAAAACAACTAACAACTACTAGAGAGTTCGGAGACTATATATCTACAGCATTTTGCATGGCCAGAATTTTATGCAGCCAGTGAGCTGGGGTAAATACACTAGCATTCAAAAGTTCGCAAGCACTTACTATATGTGTGTTTAATTTTTTAAAATTACTTTTGACGTTTTATTCAATATTTCAAGAATTCTTTGCACAAGTAGTGAATAGAATGATTGATTAATAATAGACTGTAATTATCTATTTGCATTAGCTTTTCAGATGATTCATCTTCAAATATGAGCTCCACTTTTCTTGATGCTGACAGTTTCTTGTCAGTCTAAAGCTCAGTTCATCATTCTGGACACAAAAAAATTGTTTTTAATTGCAGCTTCCTAGTGTCCTACTAACATTTGGAAAAGTTGGAGTTAAGATAATCGCAAGATTCAATGTGGAGACAGTGACATCCTGATAATACTGTAGCCCACTATGCAGAAAAGCTCGTATCTCAAGACTATCCAATCAGCAGTGACACAACTGGTTCTAAGCTGGCCTCAGAACAGCTGTGATTGCCCATAGAGTGAACTGCCCTCTATGTTCAGCTTTGAACAAGATACTGCTCTTCTCAGAAACGTCTGATTCAGAGCTCTACTGGAAGAGTCTTATTCCAGTACATTCCTAATAAACCTCCTTTTCATCAACCAGACTCTTCAGCTGTATATTTATGACAGTTGGCATTAATGTAAATGCAAATGTAAAATAAATCACAGTGAAATAGTGATGTAATTTACACTGTCAACAGATCAAAATATGTGGTATTTTATTTTGTTCAAGTAAAATTGAAAGTGAGCCATGTTGACCACAGTGACTTTGACTTCTTGAGATGTACAGGCAGGAGATGTGAGTCAGCACCTGGAAGGTCACAGGTTCATATCCCACAACTGACTGGATATGGCACTTAGCCTAGTGGCTGGTAGCCTAGTGGTAGGAGGACTGAGCCAGCAATCTGGGCAAGGCACTTATTCCCCCTCACTGCCCCAGGTGGCGCTGCTCTGCTGGCAACACCGTGCTGCTCCTATTTACATCTTTGGCATTTGGCAGACACTCTTATCTAGAGTACCTTACTTGATAGCAGGACTGGTATAGTATAGTGATTGTTGGTTTAGCACAGGGTTTGTTGGGAATGAGTTCACTGATAACTAGCATATTGGCAGCACAGTATCATATAAAGTAATTAGAAGTCAACAGATAGATTAGGCTGTATTAGGAGAGAGAGAGAGAGAGAGAGAGAGAGAGAGAGAGAGAGAGAGAGAGAGAGATTAAAAGAAGGCCATTACCATCAAGTATTTTCAACTGAAAATAATTTGGTAAATAAATAGTTAATATTTAATACAAAATTAGACAGTGACTGTGTCCAAATTATATACTGTGTACTGTATACTGCATCAGTATATACTGTATACTACATGCTACTCTTCATAGTAGTATACTGTAAAGTATCCACCTATGACAAAAGCCATTTGCCATACTACAAGGCAACATCAGGGACTTAGCCAATCAGACTGACATCAGCACCCGCCCTGTGTTCCTTAGCCTTCCAATCACTGCTTAGCAACTGCTGCTCGGTGCTTTTCAGTGTGTGTGTTTATACTTCGGTCAAGAGATGGGCTTGTGTGACCTTTAAAAATACACCCCATATAATAACAGGGCAGGAGGGCAGGATGTTGTTTTCTACCCATCTTCAAGTCGCAAACTTTAAAAAATGTCAGCTTTGGGTTGGTCTGTGTTTTCACCTGTTTTTCTGTTTACTAAAATGACAGTCATTCTAATTTCATCACTTTCATAGTTGGTAATATGAGCTAATTAGACAGAATAATAAGCAGTGAGAGCCTGAAATGCCGATGCTGAGTGGATTGTTTGGCTGAGACCAACTGTAGTAAGTTACTGTTTTAACACATTATCTATGCAGTTCATTTATTAATTAGACAGAATATGTAAACCCGCCTGATAAGTACAGCAGCAAGACAAATTTATTTCATTTTGCTATTAATAATGTATTGAAGGGCTGAATCTAGGGCTATTAAAAATATCAGTATATGAAGATCAGTATATGAAGACCAGAGCAGTACATCCGGGTCCTTCGGCATACTGGAGAAATTCATGTTGGTCACATACTGCATACTACTTAATACTTTTGGGCACAATCAGTAGGTGAGCAGTATGTAGTAGACTATTTCAAATGCAGCCAGTGTAGGTGGAGTCAGATCAGTTTATGGAACAGTAATTGCAGTTTAGGGAAGAAAGGACAACAAATGATAATGAACAAAGGAAAGGAAAAGGTAGATAAAAATTATGGATTGATAACACAGGTAGCAATGAACTGGTCAAAACGTAAGTGGGCAGTTGGTGTACTACACATATTCATAAATTATTTTATTAACTAGATGCAGCAGGTCACTTTTCTGCAAGACTGGCCTTACTAAAATTTGGAGTATAGTTACATCCCTGTCCACTAATTATTTGAAATCTGTAAAGTTGAGGTTGGGTTTACATTAGTGTAAATAATGATTTCAAACTTCCAAATGGTAGCATAGTGTACAGCCTTATTTTGTTGAAATCCCAAACAGGCTGAGGTTTTGTTGGGTCTATAATGAGTACACAGTATAATGAGGTTGCCATTAAAACTGAAAATTGTAATGCATTTAAATGCTGATTACACTGTGGTTCACATATCCCATCTATAAGACTAATTTACAGAAAAAAAATTACCTAATTCAAAAATCCATTTAGGATTTTGGGAAAGGTGCTGAATAAAGTGCACACATTACCCATAATAGTTGGACCTCACTGGAGCCCTAATTGAATGTGTTACCTTGTGCACACAGTTGGGTATCTGGATAGGTGCCATATCATCATTTAAATCATTTAAGCAGATGGAGTTTACAAAAAACAGTGTTTCTTTCATATGCCACATGCTCCAGAGTCAGAAGCAGAATGTAAAAAACGGTTACCGGTGACCTTTGTGTCACTCGTTCAATATGGTGACAAAGTGAACGCTGCCGCTAGTTTGGAATTCTGTATTCTGTTCTCTACTTAGTTATTGGTGACCCTATCCACAGTCATTACTGTGAGCTGAACGTGAGAGTGAGCTGCCCATCCCTGACTATGAAGAGGAAGCTGCTTAGTATGCTATTCATTCACAAGACCTCTTTGCAGAAATTACCACATACCCTCAGCGGTTCATCTTTCCTTGAACGTTAGCAAGGATTACTTCACCTTTTTTTTTTCAATGACTTTAGTTGGAGAGCATTTTGTTTGTTTAGTATTGCATATTTGACAGAATTTTCAAAGTAGAATTTGCACAGAACATCTTGTCAGCTTGTCCACGTGCTTCTTTTTATATTGAATATTTTTATGATTTACACTAGCTTTACACTTTCATACTTCTATATTACCAAGCAACAGTCAGAGACTGCCCTTCATTTCTTTACTGTACAGTTTAAACAGCCACTGAATAAAAGTTATAGATATTTCTGAGGAGATTGGATATAAGACAATTCACTTGTGCAAAGAAGGAGGAAGTCAAAGAAAAATTAAAAAGAGTTTCCAAAACTAGAGTTCAACAAATCAATCAAAGTTACAGAGAAAATGGGGCTCCAAACAGCAAATGCAAGACCTGGTAGACCACCAAAACTGTCACCATCAGTACTTAAAACACTACTTAAAGCATACATTTTTGAGAGAGAGGAGAAAATCCACTCTTACTTCAGATCTGAAAAAATGCACAGGTGTTTCTGTCCATCCTTCCACTGTGAGAAGACAACTCAACACTATGAATCTGAAAGAATGTGTAGCTGTGAAAAAGCCATTACTGAGAAAAGAAAATAAACAAAAAAAGAACATTTTCAAATGAAACAAAGAAGCTGCTGATGTCCAGACCTCAACATCAATGAAAGTGTTTTGGATTACTTACATTGTGATAAGCAAAAAATGCAACCAACTTGTAAAACCGAAATTTGGAGGTATGAAACAATATCCCTATAGATTTCTTTTAAAAACTGAAAGTAAGATTCCTGAAAAGAATCAAAGCTGCAGTTAAGGCAATAGACTAAATTCTGAAAAATTTAGTTGGCTTCTGTGTAATTTTCTGTTAAAACAAATTCAGCTTTTTTCCTATTGTTGAAGAATTAATAACTTCCACTCAGTGGCTGTTTTGATGGGAAATTAAACAAACTAGGGGTGGTGTCTGACTTTTGCACAGTGCGTTATTTTAAAGAGAGTCATAAGCTATACTAGGCCTTAAATGGTCTTTCCAGCCAAGTGAAGTGAAACGAATATGTAAAAACTTAATATAATGATTGAATCATAGACCAACTACAAGCACAGCACTGAACAGCTGAACAAGTCTGATTGAGGATCTATCTGTAATGCCACAAGATGGCAGCAATAAAGTCACTGAAAAACTGTGCAGAATCATTGAGCACTGCAACATTCTACATTTACCAACAGAGGTCACACTACCGTTGATGGATTTCTTAGACATGTTTAAACACTGCCATTGTTCAACAGCTGCTTTTACAAATTCTATTAACCGATTTCTGATTAAACTTTGGCTGTGTCCAAATTGCTCTTCCTTGCCTCGTTTTGTTGCGGGTGACGTGAGAAGACTGTCTTCAGGTGACTCGGACAAATTTCAATCTGATTTCTCTCACATGTCCAATCTTAAGAGGTCAGTTGTCGCAAAGAAAAGATAAGGTAAAGAGGTGAGCCTGCAGCACTCAAGAGGGATGTTCACTCACTGGAGGTCCTTTAGGTCCAGGAGATCCTTTCAGTCCAGGTGATCCTTTGGCCCCCTAAGCTCCAGAGACAAACCCAAGATCAATAACAATGTGCTTCTTGTGACTGCTACAACTACGAAGGGATTGTGTAGTCTTACACGTTTCTTCAATGTTTTGTGTCTGGGAACAATACTTGACGAAAATCAATAAAGGGTGCATTATGATTTCACACGGCAGCCTATTTGAGCCTGTTCTGCTTTATTCTTTATATATAAGACAAATAATATGGTAGAAGAATATAAGAACTCTGAGGGAGCTACGAGAGGTCTTACCGGAGATCCACTCAACCCAGCCTCACCAGGAAGTCCACGGATACCCTGAGGAAACAGAGAAAATCCACTTTACTGCTGGTTTACATGGTTTGACTGACAGGCTCCATCACCCTGCCATTAATCATGATCCTCTTTTCTAGCTTCTGTTACCTCATTAATGGCAGCAAATTAATTCTACATTATGGATAAGTCATTAAGCAGATTACAGCTTGCCAAGAAAAATGACAAGTTCACAGACAAATTTGTACATATTATACAATATATGGAGGGTCTGAAGTCCACACACTGTCTGCGATTGTTCTCCTGGCCTCCTAAATGAGTTTAATGGAAGCCTCTTGACTACTCTGCTTCCTTTAGGAAGTCTCAGGCATGTTACAGTTGATACATACAATTACACACATGGGATAGTCATCACTGAAAAGCTGTTGTAAGAAGAACTTCTTGTCTTCCACCACAGACTGACTATATGCAGTTTAAATAGTACACTGTTAGAAATAAAGGTTCTGTGCAGGTACTTTTTTCGTTCATCAAGGTACAAACAATATAAGTGTGTCCTCAAAGGTACAACAGTGGTTTTAAGGTCCAGTTGTGAATTAAATTAGTTTTTCCAGGTGAAAATTATGTATATGTACCTTTTCAATACCTAATGTTTTGAAAACAGAACAATAAAATAAAAAGCCTGGAGACGAGACGGGGTGTGTGGAGTCAGTACACCTTAGATAATATAATTTTAATGGATTATGGTACAATTATACTCCCTGACTAAAGGTACTGAGATGTACCCTTGAGGGTACCACCCCAGTGACAAGAGGGGTACTGCCCCAGTGACAGAGAGAGTGTACCATTTTCTACTGTTTAGTGTAGTGGGTACCCTTTCAACCCTTTTACTCTTTGTGACTTGTCCGTTTACATTTTGTTATTATTGGATATATTTTGTGATTTGCAATTAAATATTTGACAATTTTAACTATCAGGGCAGGTTGAAGTTCTGTGTTGTAAGTACTGGGTTGCTAGCAACTCTAAAAACAGTTGGTGAAACACTCATGGGTCATTCCACGCCAACTCACATAGCCTTGTCCTATCATGAACTCCCATTAAAAAAATTCAACCAAAAACTTCAATTTAGCTCATGAAACCATGCAAACTGTTAAAGCAATGCTCCAATTAGTATTTCAGTTATGATTTTTTAACCTTTGTGCCTTAAATACTGAATTTAACTGCTTAAAGAATAACTAAACTGAAATATTACCAATAAAGCAATAAGAACTTTAAACCAACTAGTTTTGTTCTAATAAATGTCATTATCAAGTTTATGGATGCAGCTATTTTTTATAAAAAGTAAAAGGTCAGATTTGAAATGTAGTCTTTCAATCAGTTTTCAAAATAATTTTGGTAACACTTTCTATGAATGTCTCATTTGTAAGCATCTATAAACACATTTATAACATGTTATAATGTATTCATAAGGCATTATAAACATGGTTATAAATATTTATAAAAAAGAATTACACTGAATTACTTTATAGCCATGTTTATTATACATTATGAATTGTTAATATAATGCATTATAAATAGTGTTAATAACACGTTATAATGTCAGTGCCAAAGAAGTCAGTCCTAGCTTGGAGAGCATAAAGTAAAGACAAATACCAAGCTAACAGTGGTGTACACTGACTCTCACATTGGGTAAAACACTGATGGCAGCACTAGTTTAAACTCTGACATTTGAAGCCTGTAATGTGCTTTACTGTGTATGTTTTAGTGTTTCAGTAAATCCTTCAGTAAATACTTCAAGTTGAGGCCTTACTTTAATCACTGGAGGAGGCTTTAGTACAGTACGCTTCACTTTACTTAGAGCGAACAAATACGACTTATGAGCTCTTATAATTTGTTATGATCAGTACTTATAATGTATATGTTAACAATTCCTAATGCATAATATGCATGGCTATAACGTATAATGCATTTTTATAAATATTTATAGCTATGTTTATAATGTCTTGTGAATGCATTATAACATGTTATGAATGTGTTTATAGATGCTTACAAAGGTGATATTCAAAGAAAGTGTTACCATAATTTCTGTAATATTCCTACATTCCTAGCAAATCTGTGAATTATTTGTTTCTGAATGCAATATTTAAAGCTACACCATAAAACCAAAATAGATTCATGACTAAAAATCAATTTTTAGTTCTTCTGGACTTTTATTTTATGTTTGACTGTCCTTATTCTAAGAAAAAGGTAGCTTCAAGTATTGAATCCAGTAATTAATCATTAGATTAATCATTTCTAGAAATAAAATAATATTACATAAAACCTTAATTTAGCTAAATATTTCTGACCGAAATGGACAGAAAATAATTTTGATTAAATTTCAAACATTTCGCAATTTAATTTGTAAAAATGCATAATCTAATAAATTCACCTGTTAAAGGCAATTATTTGCACAGAACTAGTTGATCTCAAGTAAAATATTATTCTGATTATTTTCAATATTTAATATAGTTAATAGTTCAGCTCTGTTCAGTTATTCTTTAAGAAGGTAAACTCAAGAACAAAGAAACAAGAACCTAATGGGCAAACTTTAAAACTTCATAGCTAAAAAATTTCTTGGAGCACAGCTTTCAGATTTTGCACAACTGCAAGAGTTTTTTGCTTGAATTTTTTCATAGATATCCATTATGTGTCCAGACAGGGCCTGAGTGAGTTGGTGTGGAATGCACCCCTATGCATTCAAGGGTAAATAACACAAGGAAGAAAACACTTATCATGTACCATGCAAACAATAAAAAACAAAAAAACAAAGCAGAAAGGTTTTGAATCTGACAGCAGCTTCCGAACACTTGAATCATTGATTGTTAAGTGCAAAACAACCTCTCTCATGCCACAAACCGCCACTGGTATCCCATTTAAATGGAAGCATAAACAATTTTTATGTGGAAATATATATCTTTGGGTGTTACATTCTGCGACATGATGGCTTTACAGAATGTTTTTATATTTGGCTCTTGCAGGCGGGACCCGTACTGAGCCATGTTAAACCACCCATATATTTTCATCACCTGCATTTGGCAGCCCAAAGCTCCACAGTGAAGAGTGAACTGCTGTTTCTTCAAAACAAAGAATAACAATCCTTTGAATAATGCTTCCAAACATGCAACCGGATACACAGTCCCTCTCCACCCATATCAGCAAAGTTTCTTCCTCCGGGTTCCTCAAGCACCTACAACTCAAGCTTTACTGCGCTGAGAGACATATAGCAGCATGGAGGAAACATCAAGGGTTCTGTTTTCTCCCCGAGCACTCGGAGATGAGAGGGGGGAATAAGGGAACAGGAACAGGTGTGTCACTTTGAAGTGATGCCACTTGCATAGCGTCCGGGTTAATGAGTCATTTGATGGTGAGAGGAGTGCGTGGATTCCTCTCAAAGGCTCTTCCATAGGAGGGACAAGACCGGATCAAATAGTGAAACTAAAGAGATCGTTAGAGGGAATGATACTGAAAGGTAACACTCTGTGCAAGTGAGATAGTGAGGGGGAGTTTAAGGTCATGAATGTAATTACATGAGAAAAATGAAAGGCGTCGTTTCTGGAGAGTAAAGCGAATCTCACAGTGACTCGCTTCGCTCATATAATTACCCAGAACTGGAGCTGGAACCGACTGATATTGAAGTTTAAGTAGTTTTTTTCTTACATATGCATGGCCAAAACACTTTAGTTACGAAATGATACATACACATTTATGGTGCAACACTCAAACATGAGTATGGCAATCAAACACTCTTCATTTATATTTAAATATTATACCAATTATTGATACTGCTTATATAACCATGTGATGTAAGATTTTTCTGAGATGGTAAATTAGTGAGGCTGTGTCTTTCATTCATGGCTGAAACTGCTTTAGACATCACTGAGAAGCTTCAGTAATTAATGCAGCCAAGCAAAGTATACAGTAGTCCATAAAGTGAGGGGGTGACATTAATGACAAAACCAGTCTTGTAAAAACCTTTGGTTTCTGATGTCTTCTGCCACCATCCTCTAGTGAAGTGCAGCGCTGGAGAGTTTAGCCGGATGTTCTTTTGACGCAAGACTGCAGAACAGCTCAGTTCTGTTTCAGTGCATTTTAGGGCAGATGTGAATCAAATTTTTAACACCGTCTGGCCTTGAGTTTCATCATTCTGGGCTGTGCGCTACCCTCAGTCGCAGAGGGAAACAAAGCTAATGCTAATTCATTACACATGTTACTCAGCCCACAACAACATCATTGAAGTTTAAAGACAGTAGTTGGTACCACTGCTGCAAATTGGCCTTAGAGAGAGAGCTCCATTGCCTGGTTAGCCTAAGTTGCATTTATTTTTCTAACACAGCCTTCAGTGTCTCCCCATTCTGCACATGGCTAAAATCCATCATGATTAAGCAGAAGTGTAAGTGGACAGTAATGAATTACATTTACTCTTGTTACAGTACTTAAGCACATTTTGGTACTTTTTTAGAACTAGCATTTAAAAAGTGTTTTTATTTATGGTTTTATCCGCCATATCGCCTTACAGATGATGCTACATCATCAGAAACCTTTTTGTTTTGTCAGATAATCACATAACGCAGCCTGACTCTACTCTGCTCTGCTCTCTCTCACTCTCTCTCTCTCTCTCTCTCTCTCTCGCGCTCTCTCTCTCTCACTCTCTCCACAGAAAGATGCATAAATGTGTACTGTGATCAGCCTCAGGACTTTTTTTTCTCATGTAATATCATGTTTGGCTTTAGTTTTATTTGTACAGATTATTACTATTGATGTAGCTAAATCAAACATTTGCAGGTTGTGACTATGGATATACAAAAAGAAGTAACTTGATTACTCAAGTAACAACTTGTTTACTCTTGAGTAATTTCCTTTATTAATACTTTTACTTGCTCTGAAGTAAATTATCACTACAATAACAAAAGCTTTAATTAAGTAGGGATTTTCTGCACTCCTTCCTCCCCTATGTTTAAGTAGCTGACAAAACCCAAAGCACTATTTGTCATTCTAATGTGTATTTGTCCTGCATACAGGATGTTTTGAAAGGCCAGGATTTGAAGGCTCATTGAGTAAAATGCCGGCATTTGAGTGGAGGGAGATCAGAGGATAAGATATTCTGCATGTTGACATGGTGGCTCCATTGTGCATGTTCGCAGAGTGGTTTGGTTGTAATGGTGTGGATAGTGGCACTGTAGTGTGCTTGGAGGTTTGTAAACACTGCAGCTGGGGCTGGGCTCCTGGCTGGAATCGCCCCAGCACAAGCTGCGCGTCTATTTATAGGTCTGCTTTCTGATTGCTTTTTTTTCCCTGACTGTTTTATGAAACCACTGCAAAGAAATTGTCCACTTTGCAAAAGAGACCTAACTATTGCCATAAACATGTGTAGGAGAGGTTTGTTTGGAGCAGTAAACAAAACACACTTTCAGTCAGGGCACATAAATAAATGTAGTAGTTTCAATTGCCAATTCATATAAACTAAGGAAAACAATGTTTCATTGAATAAAAGGGTAACACGTTACTGTAGGACAGCCCACGACACCTACATAAGCCTGTCACGACATTTGACTTAAACATACAAAACATTTATAAAGGTTTATTCCTCTCCACCACTTTGGGACATTTTTCACATTTGATGTTACAATTTGCAATATGATTTTCACTTTTTCTCACAGACATTTTGTTACTGGGAGATAATATTTTTTGACAGATTAATTCAACTTTATATTCAAGTTGTCTAAACAACATCTTTCAGAATGTTAATTAAATTTGTGTCAGACATGTTGAATGTTGGTTTTTCTTTACGTAAAATTAGGGGGTACATTTTCTAGTTTGCTATTGTGTAGTTGGACCAAAAGTATTGATTCATACATTTGCTAAAGGTATGTACTTTAAATATGTTAAAGCACTACTTACATAATACATTAACAAATAAAATAATTACAACAAAAAATAAATAAATAAATAAATGATTATAAACGTGTCCCAAGACTACTGTAGTTAGTTAGTTTCTCACATTGGGCTCATTCACAACATTTTTGGGTTGAAATGACATATCATGTTATAACAAATGACTGTAGCTAAGTGTTTATCACAGTGACATAACACAGGTGAAATAGCTTAAATTTTATAAATAGTCAAATGAATCTCTCTCTACCTTTGGGCCACAGAAAATGCTGACTTTGCTATGTGTTAATATCAGCATGATGTCACTTTGACATATGCTGGGCTACAAAGTCATTTCATCCCAGAAAATCAGTGTCGGTCTATGTCAGTTGTCATGAAGGGTTTATGTAGGTGTCATATAGCCCAATAAAAATCGCACTTTACTTGAGGGGTGTCTACATAACACATTCATAACATCTTACTTAAACGCTTCATAACATGTTCATGAATGTTTAGATCAACATTCATAAAACATACGTTTCACATGATATTAATATGGACTATGTCATTTTACTAAAAGACATTTTTCAAAATAAAAGTTTGAAAGACGATAGTATTTTCAGTAAAACGCCTAATTTCTGGACAGCCCAAACAAAAATGACCTTGCTCTACCCCTTTGGTCATTAAGTGCTTTGGCACACCATCATACTAAGATTCAGTCAAATGATTGTTTCAAAGCATATTTAAGAGTAATTTACTGTCCATGTAGTAAAGTGACATGCAAAGTAACAAGTGCTTAAGGAAAAACATAATTAAAAAGAAATCGAAAGTATAAATGAAATGTGCCTAAGTGTAAAAGCACTTAACAACCAACAGGATAAAGCGAACTCATTTTTATTTTGGCTGTCCAGAAATGAGGCGTTTTATTGAAAATGATATGCTTTTCCACAATAAAAACTGATGACTTAATTAGAAAAATGTTTCTCAGTAAAATGACATAGTAGTCCATATTAATATCATGTAAAGCATGTATACTTTAAAAATGTTCATATACATTTGTTCACATACATTCATTAACATATTATGAAATGTTTATGTAAGATGTTATGAATATGTAATGTAGACACCCTTCAGGTAAAGTGTTACCAAAATATCAATAGAATCCATTAGTATTGACATTAACAGTCCATTACCCTGCTGGCCCATTCAAGAAAGGGACTAACAAATGCAGCGAGTGAGGAAAGCTAGCAAACTCAAGCACATCAGCACCTGCTGATAATAAGAAATAATGCTGTATATTAGCTAACAAGCACTACGTAACTAAAAGTTTTTATGATTCCTTTGTTCCTCCACCAGCTGACATAAGAAGAGACTACAAGATCAGCACATGTTAATCAGTGATGAAAATAACCATAGACACATCTTATTTCACCAACCTATCAGATCTCAGCACTGTCAGTGAGTTAACAACAGCACAAAACAAGGTGTGCATCATCTGCATCATTCCAACTGAAAAAAGAAAGAAGACTTACTGGTGGTCCTGGTGGTCCACTTGGACCAGGCAAACCGGTATCGCCTTTATCGCCCTGTTAAAAAGACAGAGAGAGAGAGAGAGAGAGAGAGAGAGAGAGAGAGAGAGAGAGAAACACTTTATTATGATTATTTATTCTGAGTTCTATGCAATTTAAGTCAGTTACACTAAAGACGACTCTTCCCAAAGATCATGAAAAGCAACACTCAGAGGCATCACAGTTACCAGCACACATCATTAATCAGCCCAAGAGCTCAAACAGAAATGGAGAGGGGTCTTTGTCTTTGATTATGTATCTAGGAGAGGACCACCCTCCTTTAGCCAGATGCTCAACAAGTTCATCTACATGGCAGAGTAAACAAGCAATTAAGGCAGTTTAACAGTTAAACAAGTCTCTGTTTTCACAGTCCAGCCAACAGTAAAGGACAGCAGGCAGCTATTTGAGTTACAGAGTGTATGTTTTCTTGCATAGCGCCAAGACTCACTGGACACATAAAACCAAGTCTTTCATTATGAAACAAGGCTGCCATGACAAAGCAATAAAGACTGCACACAAGTCTTTATAAGCTATAAACATTGAGAGCTGAAGAAAGATTTTTTTCTGTCCTCTGTCTGTCAGAACAGACTGAACTGCTTTGTATGTACTTTTTAAGAGTTATTAGCTATCAAATGATTAAAATAAATAAGTGTGATTAGTGTCACTATTTTGTGTAGTTAATCAGGATTAATCCTTTAAAAATCCAGGCTTGTTATTCAGTAGCTACAGGGACTTCAGTGCAAACTAATAAAGCTATTCTTAGGTTATAGAAGTGTGTAATAATAAGTTGGGCTCCTTGGTGGGTATAATTGGTGTATTTGCTAAAGATTTTTTTTTTCATTTTAAAAGCAGTGTATTCTGTTAAAGCTATAAAACTGGACAGAATAAGCTATCAGAATGCATTTATACCTTTTAGCAGTTCAAGAAGATTATTTTCATTGTGTGCATGCAGAGTTTACTTGAACCTAAACATAAAAATAGGGTGAAATCCTGTTTTCCTGAGCTAAACAGTACAGTGAGAGCAACAGCGACTGCACTGTTTCTACTCCTCCACAACTGTAGCATCTCACTCTCATAAAGCTACATTACATCTCATTAATTTATCCATATTCTCCTAAAGACACTGTACAGTGCTAACATTACTGATATTGTTGCATTAGCACTGCTTTGCTTACTTAACACCCGACGTCCTTCAGAGAAACATGAAAATAAAAATGTAATGTATGTACACATTCATCATGGCGGTAGCTGGGAATGGTATTTAAACGCTGCATTTGAACAAGAGGGCTACAGTTGTGGAGTCATAACAGCACACAAACTTCAGATGATATGAAGGATATCTAATTTATTGTGGATCATTTATCATGTTAATGTGTTATTAGCGCCTTAACTTGGACACCACTAACATTTCAGATTTGTGCGGCCTAAGCAGTTTGAAATGGCTGTGTGTCAAAAATGCTCCACACAACAAAAAATACAAAAAATATTCCATACAACGATAGACAGACACCTTCAGCACTACAAGATGTCTAAATACTCCAGCAAAGTTCGAGGTGTGGAAAGCAGACAAACACTTTGATGAATCTGAACTCTGCTGGGCTGAAAGGGAAGCTGGTCATTAAGATATTCTATGACTTTGTTTTCTTCTAGATTGTCCACTTTCTCTAGGCCCATAAAAATAACCCAAGCCTTTCTTTACAGAAGGAGACCACCTATGAGACGGACATAAATCTGACCTGTGCAAGACTTTGGAACCAGTGTCCAGCCAATATACACATACGCACACATGCAGACACACATGCACACTCACACTCTCGCAAGTGTACACACACGCATACAGGTGTTGGACAAGTTGATCAAAACAGAAGTGTGTTCTATCAAAAAATGCAAAAATGCAAAAAATAAATATTTTAAAAAAAAACAACTGTGACAAAATTAAAAGCCACATTTTTATGGAGTTTTTATGGAGATAAATGCGATTAGAAATTTTAATCAAATGCAGATCTGAATTTAAATGTTATTATTGTGAATGTGTATCATACTATCCGAAATCAAATTGAATCTTAATATTTGTAAGAGAGCATTGTGTAATCTGAAAAAGAACTGATGATGTACAAGTGAATGTCTGGAATTCAATTTATAAAAATCAGTTTTTCTGTTAATTGACACTTTCAGATTCACTTTCACAATAACATCTAGCCAGACAAAAGCAGTTGAACACTGAATCTCTTCAAGGCAGGTAATAACACTTGTTTTATAACAGAGGTGGAGAAGAATAGCCAGTAAAGCAATGTTTTTTTTAACAACAGATGTAAGTGTAAAGCGCAGCATGAATGTATTTTGTACAGCCTTCTAGTGACGTGCCTGTCTACCCCAGCATCATCAATATGCCTAAAATAGTCCAGTTCTATTTCAGTCTCACTGATGTGCTGGGAGTGGTACATCACCAAAAAGCTATGGCTACAGGCTACAGTCAGTAATTACAAGTGTACCTGTACGGTAGGTGTTTCTGATAAAATGACCAGTGAGTGTGGATACATTATAGGAGGCTGCCCAGGAAGGAGCTGTCAAAATGGCCATTAAATACAAGTTATTCACTTTTCAGGAGACATTTCTAAAGGAGTTTAGATATAAGATAATCTTGCTCAGGGAAGGGAAAATTAGGATTCCTATGGGCTCCCGAGTGACGCAACCGTCTAAGCGTTGGCCCTATCATCAGGAGATCGCGAGTTCGAGTGAAGCTGTCAAAAAGCTGTTACTGAGAAAAGGAAATGGCATTCTCAAAACAGAGTCCAGAATTCAACTGAATGTGTTTGGGATTACTTGGACTGTAAGAAGCAGAAAATGCCACCAACTTCTAAGACTGAACTGGATGGTGTGGAAAAATGGCCCTGTAAACATCTTTGAATAACTGACAGCGAGTCGCATGAGAAGAATGGATGCTTTATTGAAGGCAAAAGATCTGCACACTAAATAATGAAAAAGTTGATATTATATTCATTGTTGAGGTTTATAAGTTGTATTGTTTTATCTCTGACTGTGGAATAGCTTTGTTCTGTAGAAATTCAGAACAAATGACTCTCTACAGTTTGTGAACACTGCCTGTTGCCATGTTGAAATGAGAAAAAAGGCTTCTACTCGGGAGACTGCTAGCATTTTCATGTTTAGTTGCACTAAGCCAGATCATTAGCTTGAACGTAAATTTAGTTTTCCCTGTATAATGATGGATATTAGTAATTTTCATGTACTTCAGCAGAGGGCCTTTCTTTACTGTCAAAGCAACTAGTTTTCTTTTTCGTCTCATTTATCTTGTTAAAGTCTTGTGAAATTGCAGTCAGGCTTGCAGCAAGTGGTTGTGACGTGGGAGCTGGTTTCTGTGCATTAGCCATCTGCTTGTGTGTACATTTTAATTACACAGGCAAAAACATTGATTTTGGCAGCCAAACAAGGCATTATAATCACACTACAGTTCCATTACAAAGCACCACTTCAGACAGAGCGCTCCATGAGGCTCTGCCCAAGTCTTTCAAGGGGTGGACTAACCCAAACCGTTTTCAACCCAGTCCTCACAAAGGTTTGCTGTATTCCAGATCCCCAAAAATTATTACCTGCATCCTTGATTACTTGGCCCTGTGAATGGGAGCTGGAATTGGAGAAGAATGCAGGTTGGCAATGGGGCCTCAAAAGCCAGCTTAAGAAGCTGGGTTGTGAATGATTTCCTGCTCAGATGCAGGGTTAACATTGATCTGCTGAAATCCATACTACATTTACATTCAGCAAGAGGCCCTAATCCACAATCAGCACTTGCTAAAAATAGCCCTCTCAAAGACGTCGTTCACCTCAACCTCTCCAATCTGAGTGCATCTGAAACAATTAACGTCCAGACAGTAGAATTACACCATCATGTGCCAAAACACTCAATCAGTCAATACAGCTGTAATGTGTGTTACGATTTGGACTGAAATCGGTATTGTACGCTGTGGATCTGACCTACATCCATAACTTAATATGACAACACTGTCACATCCGTACAAACCTCACTGATTTCAACTCCACATAGATGTCTCTAGTATCAGGTGCCTGAAAAAATCTAGCGTACTCTGGTCAAGGTGGCAGGAAATTACTTCAGTTAACCCTCAGGAGTGTTATTAATGATTTTTGTTACCCATTTGATTCATGTTACATAATTATTCAAGTGTAATTGCAGAATTGTATGATTAATTACATATTTGTGTAATTAGTTGCATTTCAATTCCGTTATACATTATGTATTGACAGGTTTGAGACTTTTTCCATTTGTTTTGATGTTAGTAAATGAAATAAGTGGCAAAAAAAGTTAATGTTTCTTCTTTCTTCAAAACAAGTACTGTAGACACAAGAATAACTTTTCTTCCAATTCAAATCATAATAAACATGGTCTCGACTTCACGTTATGAATTTGGATTTTTGACAAAATCTTTCCATTTGTTTAAGTATAAGTGACGAATACTTACACTAAATGCTAAAAGTCACGTTGCAAAACTTAAAAAGTGTAATTACATGGTTGAGTATTTACAGTACTTAGAGCATTTACACAGAAGCTTCAACAATGAAATATAACTGCATTTTCTTTAGTATTTATTATGTCTACATTCTAGCTTTATCACGGCTTCCATTCTTTTAACAAGTCTTGCTTTCAGTTTTTCAAATTTCACATCTGCAGGGATATTTGTCCACACCTACAAAGTTCAGTCTTAGAAGTTGGTTAAATTTTCTGCTTCTCAAAATCCAAGTAATCCCAAACACATTCAGTGATGTTGAGGTCTGGACACCAGCAGCTTCTCTGTTTCTGTGCAATTTTTCTTGTTTTTATTTTTTATTTTCTTCTCAGTAATGGCTTCTTGACAGTTACACATCCTTTCAGACTCATAGTGTTGAGTTATCTTCTCACAGTGGAAGGATGGACAGAAACACCTGTGGATTTTTTCAGATCTGAAGCAAAAGTGGAGCTTGATTTTCTCCTCTCTCTCAAAGATAAA